TATTCCTTAAGAATTATCCTGCAATCCAGATGCAATTACTTTTCCATTTTTCAAGCCACATGAAATCCACGTTTAACGGTAGTTTCTCTAAACGTCAAACGGATAAATACTCCTCTATCTCCTCCCAGATACGAAAATTCTCAAATAACCGCTTATCATCTCCGCGATATCTATTGTTAAAATTACGCACAATCGGTACGGTCGATAGCCCGAAGCTCGACCAGTGCCCTAGCTTATCTACGAAGAAGGAGAGGAGTCCTCGCCGCGACTCACGGCGTCTCTCCTTCAAATCGAGCCCGCCGCTTTTCGGTGCACGGTTTGTCGAGCACAACAGCGTGGCCCACCCTCGACGTTTTCGTGCGATAAAACCTGAAATACGAGCGCGCACGCCGCTCGAACTTCTATTCGCCTCGACCGAAAAGGATGTCCGGATCATAACGCGGCGTGGTCCCGTGCACCCCGTTGCTCCCATGAGTTACTTTACACGATCGTTTTCAAAAGGAAAGCCCCCCCGTAACCACCTCCTCGACCAACCTATACCTACATCTCCGCACTTTTTCATCGTCACCGAGAACCGCGTGTAAGTGCACGCCCTACGGTACTTGTACAATTATCGTATTAATAATTAAAACTTACCCGTGGCAAACACACCGACACGTTCCCTCTCGGCGAGAGTTCCTGTCGGAATAAAGCGATCCGACACATGTCGAGAGCACCGCGATACCTCCATGGTGGCATCCTCCTCCACGCCGAAACGCGGGGGTGGGAGAGTGGAAAAAGCACGAGGGAGATTAATTGGAACCTTCTTCGTGCGAAACAGAGAGGCAACGAAGAGGAGATCCAAGGAGAGGCGGGAGGGTGAAGAACAGAGAGAGAAGAAGAGGAACAGAGGGGAAATTGAGAGAAGGCAGAAAGGGAGGAGGAGGAGGAGGCAGGGTGAGAAGAAGCGGGCGAGAACGAGACGCAAAGCGTCAGGATAGCCCGGGGGCGAGCTTTTTGCCGAACACATAATGCATAGCGAAGGATGACACCCTTATCTCGGGATCTTTAATTCCGTGGGCCGCCGCGAGGGGGTTGCCGCGTCGTCATTTGTCGGTTGCACCGCGGCACGAATCAGGGACCGCACAAGAGTGGATGGATAAAACCGGCGGCGCTGTTAACATCACCGTTGGCTACAGGGGCTGGAAATTGCCTTGGCTGATTTCATTTCGGACCAGAT